TAATAATAATAATAATAATAATAATAACTTTGTTTACACAATTGTTATTTAGTACACACTCAATTTACTGTAGTAAGTTTTCTTTATGTATACTTTATTATCACCCATCATAAAAAAGCACACAAGGTGAAGACAGGTGATGTTTTTGTCCATGTTTCCTTGTGTTTGTGTGTCTGACTTTTAGCCCCATATTTTATAAACTATCAGACAAAACTCTATGAAACTGTCAGATTGTAACCATTATCCATTTGATGTCTTGATGTTTGAAGTCAGCTCAGTTTAAGATGGATTCCAAAKCCAACCGATCTTAGAAAAGACAAAAATGGATTTAACACAGTCAGTTTTGAAGTAGTCCTGTCGTTCGTGACGCATCCTCTGAGGGTAACATCTTGCAGTGGGTTTTCACATAATGTTATTTTCAAGGTTTGGACCAAACAGCTACTTTTCTCGTCAGATGATCAAGGTGTAAAATTCTGGCATGGTCAGCAGCAGGAGACATGCTTCAAAGAATACACAATCTTTGATTTTTGGTGTTTTGTTCAAAGATTAAATGGGGTTAAGTCCAAAGGTTAATCATAGATGTAGCCTATTCAATGATTGTTTACTCAAAGTTTCATTCAAGTACTTTGAGATATTTTGCTGACAGACAGACTGTTGCTCTTGGCCTTAGCTGTCGAGTAATTTACCTTTTATTGGACTTTTTAAACTACCTAATTTAAAATGCAAAAAAATAGCCTATTTGATGTATTCTTTTATCAATAGTTAATTTGTTTAAATCCAAGTGGTCTATTCTTATAATAAAAAAGTAGACTATATTGGGTCAAAAATATTTATATAAACCTAAATATTTTTATTTACTTATAAGGCAAATAAATTCCAAATTAGAAAATGAAATAAAACTGTTTATGAGGTGAATTTCAAACATCTCATTTGAGCTAKCATCCTCATCAACATCTCCTAATCTGTGTTAATCCGGTTAAATTACAATGTCCGCGGGTTCAAATGTCACGCGGCGGTGGCTCCTACCTTACAAGATTCATTTACAGTGCAACAGTTGAGGGCAGACAGTTCGGATGATGGATAAAAAGCCCGTTTCCACCTCCGGAGTGTGGGAGCGAACACACCGCTTCAGCAGAGATTCAACGACACGCAGCCGGCGTCTCCTCCGCTTTATCCTCGGTTCAAGCAGCATCGGACGGCGGAAGACGGATTCATCTCGACCCGGAGCTGCCCTGTTCCTTTTCTCCGGTCCGGAAGTGTGGGTGTCGGGAACCTGTCGGTGCTGATGCTGCTGATGACGGTCTGTGTGTGTGTGAGTGTGTCTACAACCGCCGGTTCACCTCATCATCATCATCATCACGACTCGATGAGGAAGGCTGTTTTCATCACTCATTTTTTTTCTTCTGAAGGACTGATTCACAGCTGAGGAAATTCATGATGAAGTTCCGCTACCGGCCGCTAGGTGGTGCTGCAGGTACACAGCTGGACTGTGCCTGYTCACACCGACGCAGATGTTTTTGCACGCAGCTGTTACCAACATACATGAACCACTTGACAAAATTTTATTAAACTTGCAGAAAGTAATCACTGGATATAAAAATACAAAAAGGTAATAATTGTGTCATTTGACATAAAGTTTTTGTTATTGTCCCACAATATAATCTGAGCGCAAATTGTGCAAAATATTCGTTTAATATGTTATTACAATTATTTAATCTACTGTCTGCCATACTTGCCTGGCTAAATAAAGGTTCACAATAAAAAATCTCTTAAACCACTGAACGGATTTTAATGACTGTTTAATTAGAACTTGCTGCTTTTTTGCACTTAGTAAACTCTCCATGYACCACTTCCTCATTTTTTTATTTTTAAACAGATTTTATGTCCAATAAAGAAAATATTACTAAAATATATTATTTACATTTAAAACTAGTCTGTATAATGAAAGCATTCAAAGGGGTTTCATAAAGATCTGATGGTCCACTTTAGGAAACTGATCCTCAGCAAAAGGCCAGCAGAGGTCGAAAGCAAGTAGGCTTAATTGGCGCCCCCTACTGTTTACAGGACAATTAGACAGATTAAGTAGAAAATTACTCAGATACTAATATTTCATTTTAATGAGTTCCACAGTAGCCTTTCAAAAAAATATGACACCTGCATGTTGTTTRCAAAAGCTCCCTGGTGAGCACAACGACCTACAACAACCTGGCTGCCACAAGTCAAGAAAATAGAGCAAAATAAATGGTCACAACTTTACAAAATACTTGAATATTTTCTCCCTAAGATTCTTTTTAAAAGTAATACCTTTTACATATGTTTTGTTTCGAATTGTTATGATATGTACCACATTTTAAACAAATGAGCATATTTTAAAAAACGAGTTGTGCAATAAATTAGCTTCCTAAAAACAAATAATTATAATTTAAAACTTTCTGCAAGTATTTTAAAAATGAGGAATGGATCAGTTCAGCATCATACTGACACAAAACCATCAGTCATTCAAATTCTTTCACTAAAAACAAGGATAAATGCACATTTGTTTGGGCACAAATACGACCTTAGAGCAAAGCTTACCCTACATGGGGCTGCTGTGTCTCTGCGGTCAGTGTGGTCTTGTAAWCCCGAGGCTGCAGATCTCRGGGAGRGGCTTCAGCGTAAAACATTCACAAAATCTTTTGTATGAGATCGCTTGCTGTGGTGACCCCTGAAGAAGGGAGCAGCTGAAGGAAAACGACAACCTTTTTCCTAAAAATAACATAACTTCTTAGTTTAAGCACTTGCTGTGTTTATTGTGTTCTATTGCAAATTTAATATGGGTTTAGGAGATGTGCAAATCCARTTTGAGGTTGTAAAAGAAAAGATTTTGTTCATCCTTTTTCTTTGTTGATAATCTAAACTTCCACATGTTGACTGTATTCTCAGTTTCGTAACTAAAAACTAATTTAAAGAAATTAATTAAACACATATTATGACCAGCATACCCTTTTATTATAAGCATTACAGCATTCTGTTGTGATAATATATATATAGAAAAAGCAGTGTTAAGCATCCAGCTCAGATTGAAATATTTTGGCAGCACTAATTAAACACATTAAGTATCTGAGGTCAGCTTCTCTGTATCCAGCATTGAAATAGATGAGCCAGCAAAAAGCTTCAGATGGACTACAAACACTGTTTAACTGGTATAAAAATATTCTTGATTAAGGAAGAAAAAGGCAACAAAGCTTTGCGAAGTGCAGCAGCAGTCTTCGCGTCTCCAAAAGTGATTAAACTTTGAACGGAGTCATGTAAACTTCAGCTCACACTATCTTCAAGTCCTTCATGGCRGACTCCAGAGTCTGAAAACACAATAATGAATATTATGAATCATATTATTCAGACCCAGATTAGGCAACATGGCTGCATGTGTTCATATAAGTGTGTTACCTTGACGTCCCAGATGGCCATTCCTCCGTCCATGCCAGTAGTGCAGAATTTGGTGCACTGGTTTCTTCCTCCATCGAGCACAGAGATTTGACTGAAACGTTTTTTCAGACAAGTCAGAATCAAAGTTGGTGAATTACTGTAGGTGTTTAATGGTTGTGACTAAATTTCTGTTTTCTAACTTGTTCTCTCTTGACCTGATGCTGTTCTTGTGCAGAGTGTTCAGATCCTTGTCRTTGCTCTGGGTCTCTGAGGCCCGACGGTCCAGGTTCTGGAAACGTTCCCTGGCGCTGATGCCTTTCTGGGCTGCCTGCTTGGGGACRTCCAGCTTGCCCCCAAAGGTCAAGTTGCCTTTGGTTCCATCGTACACAAACAGCATCGGGTAGCAGTCGTGACCCTAAGGAATTACAAATATAATATATGCACATTTGAAAATGCAAACCAGTAGGACCACATTGGTACATTTTGTCTTTTCGGTCCAACAAATGCATTTAAACCACACACACACACACACACACACACACACACAC